AGCAGGGAAGCAGCGGGAGGGAGCTGGGCAGCCGCGGCCGTGGGCCTCTCCCGGCCTCCTATGGCCGACGCGGACCCCAGGGTGCTGCTCTTGGCCGCTCAGGTGGCAGAGAGCAGAGATGAGGACGTCCCAGTGTTGCTCCTGAGGCTAAAGGGTAAATGGCAGCTTTTCTAGAATACAGGGATGAGATAGTGAAGCATGCACAGGTATTTTTTGTTTTGTTTTCTTTTTCATTCTGCCTCCTCAAGTTCAGAAGTTTTATTTTGTTGTTTTCCCCATAGTTCTCACAGGGCTGGAAACTCCATGGGTTCGATGATGCCGCTTTTCCTGACAGTTGCACATGGGTGGCATTTGGCTTGGGAACAGGAGGAGGTCGAGAGGAGAGGGAATGGAGGGCAGCTCTTCCATCCCTCTCCACTGTCACCATTTTTGTAAGACCCCTGCTAATGTGGGCAGGGATCTCGCGGCTTCTCCCTGCACTTTTGGGTAGAGATCCAGAGGGGCTGGGAGTGATTGTTAGTAACCAATTTTTAAGCCTTACTGCAGAAAGATGATCACAAGCTCCAGTGTGAGCCCCCTCATCCACCCCTTGGCCTCATGTCTGCTGCCCATGGAAACAGTGGAAACAAGTTAGGCCCTGTTCTAAATTGGGATGTAATTATAAGGAGGTTATACACAGTGGGTTTTCATTGTAGTTTTATTTGACCTAAGAAATTCATACAGATGGAATACATCCCAGATAATGTGTGTTTTACTACTTGAATATATTTTTTAAAAAATGGAATACATTGAATATGTTGAAAAAAGTGGAAATTTAAGCTCAATTGTCCTTTCTAATTGTCATACAGTCTAACAAATACTTTTGGCTGTAGGAGTGCCAATAAAATGTTCTACATTACCACTTTGAGAATTACACTGATCTTAGTGTTTGTACACATTTTGTCATTTTTATGCATTTTTTATAAGTTGTTCCTTTGCATCAGAATCATATTCTCCTTCTAGCCTATTTCCTGCGTTCTTCCCACAGAAATTTTAAACAGTGCTTCCTTGGGATGTAAAGAATCAAAAAAAATTAGGCAAGAAATACACTACTATGATCTTACTCAGTACTGCGTGCTGGTCCTGAGACAAGACTACTCTCGACTACGCGGAGGCTGGGCCACGGCTGCCCAGCTAGCAGAGATTCTAAGGTAAGAAAAACTACCCAGAAGTTTTCTTCTTGTTTCCTTCTGGTCTTTCCTCTTGTTCTTTCTCTTTGCGAGCTGCAGTGCAATAGCTCCCATGCAGAACAAGGCTTGTTCAGGAGAGGCCAGGGTTAAAGTGCAGGGAGCAGCCAGGAGCAGAGGGGTCAGGCATAGCCTGATCGGTCCTGTTTAATTCATTTGCATTGTGTTTCCCTGAGCTGGGCAAACTGGGGTTAATTTATTTTTGTAAGCAGTACTCATTTATGTCACAATTCTTGCCAATTAAGTGGTAATTTTGAATGGCAGTTATTTTAAAATTGTTATTTAAAATTCATTTGCAAAAATCTTCAGTATCATAACTAACAGCTTGACTTAAATATATCCATTTAAAATTTAAATATAATAGAGGATACGACTAATGCAAACCAGATAGCTTGATGTAATGGTTTAATTCACAGCAAGCAAATAAGACAACAGTAAACTGACATCCAATGATCCCTCAGTTTTCAATGTCAGGAAACAGAATTAACTTTTAGTTGTTTCCCAAATTGTATCTGATTTTGGGTTAACTGTAAAGCAACACTCTAAGACACAACAAAATTAGCCATCTTTTATATATATCATATCTACAATATGAATTTGTAATGTTAGGAATTAAACTAAGAGATGCAAGATTTATTGCCAGGGCTATTTCTCTCTTATAAGCTATTTCAACTTTCAGAGAAAAATGAAATTTATTTTAATTATAAAAATGTCCTTTTGCAATTACACAAATCTCAGCTTCATGCCTAGACTTAGCTTTCCAAAGTCTTTGGTAAGCAGAGCTTTGCATGTACATACTCACAGCAAGCTAAGAAAGCTCAGATAACAACATATCAGAAGACAAAATTCATAAAAAGCTATGAAAACTTTTATTGCACTAGTTTCAGTGCAGAGTACAGAGTGAAAAAAGGTCTGTTGTGAAACTTGCAGAGCCATTTCTTGTGAACAGCGTACCAGAAATGACCACGTAAAATCATAAAACTCAGATCTGAGGAACTGATTTCTAGTGCACATGTATTCCTCGAGTAGAGGAAAGTCAGAGACAAAACCAGTGAAATTTTTTCTTATGCATATTTTTGTTGCCTGCCCTGCATCCACTTTATCAGCTTTATTTATACCTTTCTATTTTGCTTTTTTTTTTTTTTTTTCTCCTCCTGAGGGCCATCAGAGCCATAAGCTCTCATGTGGAAGGGAGCCGAAGGGGAAAGTGACTTGTCTATATTTTAAACCAATGCATGTTATAATAAGTATTGCTTTGTAATTAGTAGCAAGACACTTACAGTCTCCAGCCTCCCCGTGATTGCTCTTCCTTCTGAGGCAGCTGGCTTGGAGCTAGTCACAGCAGTTAACTCTGGTTCAGTGTTGAATTGTCCCGTTCCAGTCAAGCATTTCTCCTCTGATGACATGACTTTCATTCAAAGCTGTTCAAATAAGAGGCCCTGGACTATTCAGGTTGCCTTGTGTGTGCATTGAGGTTTTTTTCCTCCTTTTTTTTTTTTTTTCCTCTTTTTCATTTCAGTCATTGTTGTGTGGGACTAGAGGTGAAAGAAGATCCTGAGGAATTTTACAACAAATTTCTTCCTTCAGCCATAGACAACCTGTTGTTTTTGGGAAGACGACTCCAAGCACGATTCATCCGAGCAATCAAGGTATTTAAATTCTAGAGCTTAAAAAAAGCAGAGCCCCTCTGCAAACTTTCCAAGCTCTTCTATCCTCTAGGTGCAATGTATTATGAAATTTTATTTTCCAGAAATTCCTTTTTTTGTGTGTTATGTCTTGGAGCATAGAAATTGAAATCTGTCATCTTGGAGCATTCATTCTATTATGTAAGCAAAATTAATTTATTACCAGTCAGTTGTTTAGAGTGTTTACCTACTACTTGGAGGTTGTTTTTGAAAAGTGGGCTAGGAGAAACACTAGAAGAAAAATGGCTTAAAAAAAGGAGCCTCTCATTCTCTGTAGGTTTTGTTGAGTCTTGTTTGTTTGTTTTGATTTGCACAGAATTACTTCAGTCTTTGAAACTGCTCTGTTTTTACTGCTTTATTCAGTTTTACAAAAAAAAATATGCTTTAGGATATCTTAAGGTAGCAAACCCTAAGTTAGAAACGTTGAAATCAGTTTTGCTATATAATTTCTGCAGTGTATTTGTAAATTCTGATTCTGCATTGGTACGTGTGGAACCCCAAAGGGACACTGTGAATTAGTAGATATGACTTTCTCGCAACTCGCTTTCTCACCTTCTCACAACTCGACCGTTCTTTGCAGAGAAGGAGTGTTTTGTCCAGCTAAATTTCCTCATGCTTTTGAAGCATTCAGAGTTACAGAATCAACAAAGAAATTTTAGAAGAATTTGCATAACCAAACTCACAGATTCTGAAAATCTCTTTTAATTTCCTTTTTCTCTTTATTTCCTCTTAATGTCTCCTTTTTTGTCTCGCTGACTTCTTGCATTTAGTCAAAGTTTTTGTACAGGATATTGTGCTGGGTCCGGAAGTGTCATCACTTTTCAGAAAAAAAACCACTAAAATGGCATACTTTCTGTTATTTCAATACCTTTAAGGTGCATGTATGTGTGCTGCTTAAGAAGCATACTTCCTGAATGACATCCCAGGAGACTCAATTCTTACCACAATACGTAATTTCTCCCACACTTTATTACATATTTCAGCCTACATGCTACTTGAGTTATGCTTGTGGGC